TTGTTTTCTTTTTTTTCTTTTTAGTTTGCAAATAGAAATTTAAAAAACTAGAATTTCTTTATCAACATTATCTCTTTTCCACTCGTATCTCTTTTCAAGGCTCTCCAACATGATCGCAAAACATAATATATACAGTGGCAAATCAAGAAAGGAAGTTCAATCCCAAAATGCTCTTTATAGAATATCTATAGAGGTGAGGACCCTTCTCAATGATGTAATTGTCTATTTAGAAAGAAAGCATGGCTAGCCATAGATAGATTTTGAAAATAAATAAATAAAGAAGAGGCAAAAGTTTTTGGAAGAAATAATTTTTCAAACATTCTAACAAACAAATGAAGTGCATTACAAAGTAGTATAATTTTGGGACGTGAACTAATAATGGCAATGTCTAAGGTGAATACATTCACTTTCAAAAACAAAGTGTAATTGCACGACAGGAAGTGTTCCAAAGCCCAAGCAATCTCAATGACAATTCATATGACAACTTCATATTTTTCAAAACACTTATTAACAGGTGGTAAAATTCTGAAATTAATCATCAACAATGGTCATTATTTCTTAAATTATAACGCAGTAGTATTGAAATATTCCTAAAAATTATAATCTTATATCTTAGGGAAGATCTCTCAAACAAATCAACTTGTAAAGTATAATATCTATACCTTAAAAATAATGAATAAGAAAAAAATTTACAATTTTCTTGTCCCTCTTAAAACATTGAAGAAAGTGATGTAGAACCTCCGTCCTCAGTTCTCTTTTCTTCAGAGACCCACCCCGATATGGTAGAATGTGTTAAGTAAGTGTTTATTTAGCTTAATGTACATGATAAATTTGTTCACTTGTAGAATCATATATTATAAGAAGGTCATTTAAGTAATAAACCATCAAATGGTCACTTGTTAGCAATTAAGTTTTATGTTTGGTGACTATTCACCTTTTCTAGACTTTAAGGTCACTTTACACCAATTATGTTTAATTTTGGTCACCTAAATCTAATTTTTCCAAAAAAAAAAAAAATTATATATATATATATATATTAAAAAAATTAGAATTGTCTCACTCCAATTTTCTTGTAGGTTTACTGTATTAAAGTAATTATTTCATAATTGTATATATACGTATGTGTATATAATATGTAACACTGAGTTCTATAAAGTGATCTTAAGAGTTCTATGTACAAATTATTTGGAACAATAAATAAATTTAGGTTGGAAGGCATGGAAAAGAACGTGAATGGAGATCTGACCGAATGATTTTTTTTTTTTTTTTAACAGTGCAGTGTTGGATCTCAGAATTTTATGAAACAAATATATATTACTAAACATGTTTATTGTTTCTTGTTTATAAAATTTAACAAACAAATTAATGTTACCAAACATTATTTTGTTTTTAGACCGAAACACAGAGAAATAGACACGTTTAGAAATAGAAATTAAAAATATAAAACATAAACGTTACCAAACAACTCCTTATTTTGAATTGAAACAATTATTTTGGAATAGTAAAAAATGGCAAGGTGAATATTATGAATATAGAGAAAATATAGAACACTAAGTGAATATAGAGAAGAATATAGAAATGAAAAGAGAGATTTTGTTTAGTTATCAAAATCTTTCGTACATCAATATAGCAAGGAGTAACCCATATTTATAGTCAAAACTCTTGCCTTAATCACCATCCATAGTTCACCATTAACCAAATGCATTTACCCCTTTATTGATTACACCATTAACCAAATGCATTTACCACTTATTTAGTGCACCATTAACGAAGTGTATTGTGATACCACCAGATTTCCGGATGCGGGTTGGCCAGGCCCAAGCCCGAGGATATCCAAAACAAACGACAATAATAGAACACAGAATACAAATATGATAAAAAAGAATAAATAAGAAAATATTCTGGTGCATCCAATCCTCCATTACTAATACAACTCGGGAATCCATCTAGTGGACCCCTAATAAACAACCCAACTGAAGATGAACTAAACCAACAAGGAAATCCAAAATTAAATAAACACAGAAGTCCTACGTAATCGGAAGAATGAGTAACCGTCTCTACTCAGCACGAACAAGCTCTAAGACTATCCGATACTTGAAAAATAATAGTGGGTCAGGCCCACGAACAAGTTATACTCTAACTACAATCCAAACAGAGACCCGATATATAGATACATCTTAGATAACTCAACAATAACTATCTAATCCATAAATATATATATTCACACTATGGGACTCTCATTGGATTACAAAGGGGGCCTCAACCTGAATAGAAGGCAACATGCAAAACGCACCTGAGGTAGACATGAGTACCTAAACCTAACAGGGTATACCTCTACCATTATAGCCAGTTATGCATCCCAATGCATATATGCTTCCTAACCATCGATCCTAAGATTCAAGCCCATATTATGGTACCATAATCATATATCTAAAAATCATATCCTATCCATCCATAGGAAAACCAATTAGTCATTCAACTTGTTATCTGACTTAAATATAAGTAACAAATAATCTAGTTAGTCATTCAACTTATTCAGCTGATCTGACTTAAATATAAGTAAGATTTAATTTTATAATCCATTCACTTATTCAAGAGTAGGTAGGACTTAGTATTTTGAACTAATTCGTCCCTAGTATGCCACCGTCCCATACCGGTGCATACAATCCATAACATCCATGTAATTGACAGAACAGAATATAATGGTTTATCAATTAATATCCAAAATAACATTTATATAATTAACATAACAGAATTTAATGGTTCATCAATTAAAATCCAAAATAACATCCATGTAATTGACAGAACAAAATTTAATGGTTCGTCAATTAAAAATCCAAAATAACATACATGTAATTAACATAACAGAATTTGATGGTTCATCAATTAAAATCCAGTACTGTTAAATCCATTAGCATATAGACATTAATTACGCAATATGAGGTTTAATATAACATGAAATAATGTTTAGAGTCCTTAATATTAACCCAGGACAGTCCAGGAACCCCAAAAATATCAAAACCGTACCCAAAACCACATCCAGTACACCTTTAAGTATGAGAGCTGGCTTTCTCTCTCACAGAGAGCCGTAACCAAAAAACTTAGGGAGCCGGCTCTGTCCCTACTTCCTGTCATCATCTTCACCTCCGATAATGTTAAATAACCCTCTATAATGTTTTGTTTAAGTTCCTAGAGGTCCAACAATGTCCCGTATCATTCAGAATAACACATAAACTCAGTATGCATTAATACAAGATGTAAAATAGAATATGAGACAATTTGATCAACAATTAAATTTCAATTAATCAACATACAGAATATAGTTTAAAACCTAAATTAACATGCATACTTAATCATTATTAATATCCGTTTAGTTCCTAGAGATTACCTAGGCATGCACGGAACACAGGTCAAAGGAAAAGAGCAATAAATAGAACTTGCTTCTAGGTTTCGAATTGAAACCTTTAACCGTCCTATGTCTAGACTTTTTGGCGACGTTTGATTGTTGTTAACTCCTTTGTTGCCCTAGGTTCAACCCACGAGCAAGCGTCCAATACCCTTTCTCGGTTCAACCCTTATTATTGGCCAAACCCTAACTCGTTCTCTCTGTTTTCTCTTAAACCTCACTATTCGTGAATAGGGTTTGTGTTTTAAGCCTTAAGCAGACATAATATGATATATATATATAGGCAAAATAGTTTTAACCTAATTCTATTCATGTGAGGAGTTGGCAAAGCAAACACAGAAATAAAATATAAAATACATATATATATATAAGTCGGCAATTTTAATGAATATATCTAAAACCCTAAAACTTGATATTACATATATATAAAGAAAATATAATGAAGCTAATTTAATTATTACCAATTACTAATAATTAAACTAACCCAAAATACATATATACTCATATATACATATATATCCGTCCATGAGTAAAAACTGTACCCATTCACACTATCCAAATAGTCCATTAATCCTATCCAAGTTTAACTCCGTTTAAAAATAAAAATAATACAAACATGTACTTTCAATTAAACAAGTAAAGTAATTTAAACAATTATACAAAATAATTTCAATTTAAAACAAATAAACCAAGCTAAACAATTATACAAAGAAACAATTAAACAATTAATATTAAACAATTAAACAATTATAACCAGCCAAATAATCAATTAAACAATTAATTCAATTAAACATATACCATCAAGCCACGTAACCACATAGCCACATAAACAACTAAAAATGCACAAGAAATAAAATTTAAATTCCAATTATATCCTTTTTAAAATTAGGAGTATTACATGTATTTACCACTTATTTAGTGCACAAATTAATTTAACACTATACCTAATTAGTGGACACCATATATATTACACTCCCCCTTGGGGTCCACTACACAACACTAAGAATATGCCTTATTAAAACCTTGCTAAGAAAAATCCAGTGGGATAAAAACTTAGCGAAGGAAAAAGAGTATAATATTGCTGTGTATATGAAAAATGGTATTTTATAGGTTAAAACTACCTCATTAAAACCTTGTCAGGAAAACTCAGTGGGATAAAACCTGAACGAAGGATAAAGAGTACAATATGCCAATATCTTTTCAATTTAATGCTCCCCTTTATTGTTGCATTAGTTCAACACTAAAGATCCTTGAGTTGACTCATTACAATATTGTGTACCAACCTTTTGAATGTCGTAGTTGGCAGTGTTTTAGTGAACATGTCTGCTAAATTTTCATTTGAACGTATCTGCTGAATATCAATATCACCATTCTTTTAACGTTCATATACATAAAAGAATTTTAGTGAGATGTGCAGGGTCCTGTCACTTTTGATATAACCCTCTTTCATCTGTGTAATGCATGCAACATTATATTCATAAAATGCTATTGGGCTATCTTTTATTGATGAGAGACCACATGTTGTACAAATATGCTGGATCATAGATCTCAACCAAATGCATTATCTACTTGCCTCATTGAATTGTGAGTATCTCTAAATGATTGAAGAAGTTGCAATCATTGTTTGTTTTATAGATCGCCATGATATAGCAGTGCTACTACGGGTAAACACATATCCTGTTTGTGAATGAGTTTTGTGTGGATCAGAAAGATAGCCAGCATCTACATATCCAATTAACTGGGAGTTCGATTCTTTTGAATAAAACAATCCCATATCAATTGTACTACGAAAATATCGTAATATATGCTTGATTTCATTCCAATGTTTACAGGTTGGTGCAGAACTGTATCTTGCTAATAAATTGACTGAAAATGCTATGTCCGGCCGTATGCAATTTGCAAGATACATAAGAGCACCAATTGCACTGAGATATAGCACTTCAGGACCAAGGAGTGTTTCATCATCCTCTCGAGGATGAAAAGGATCTCTCTTAATGTCAAGTGATCGAACAACCATTGTGGAGCTTAATGGGTGCGCTTTATCCATATAGAATCGCTTCAAAATCTTTTCTGTATATGTTGACTGGTAGACGAGGATCCCACTTGCTAAATGTTCAATCTGCATCAAATCTTTTCTATATATGTTGACCAGTGGACGAGGATTCCACTTGACAAATATTCAATCTGCAGACCAAGACAAAATTTTGTTTTTCCAAGATCTTTCATCTCAAATTCTTTCTTTAAATAAGTGGCTGTTTTTTCAATTTCATCCAATGTTCCCACAATATTAAGATCATCAACAAATACTACAATAATAACAAAACCATATCTTGACTTGTTAATAAAAATGTAAAGACTCGGTCTGTTCCTTGTTTTCGTTTTCGGCAATTTTCTTTTCTGTTTTTTTTTTTTCTTTTTTTTCTTTTTTTCTTTTTTTTTTTTTTTTTTTTTCCCATTTTCATCTTTTTCCCTATTTTTTCTTTTCCTAATTTCTCTTTTTGTTGTATAACCTCACTTTTTGTGCTCGGATTTGATTCTGGCTTTGCATGTATCCATAATATTTAATTTCTACAATATCTACATTTTTACTTTTGTGTAAAAACATGCTAATTGTTAACTTTTCTTGCAAAGGGCATGGATGCATAACTTTTGGTAATTTTCTTAAACTTTTGGGGTTTTAGCGTAATTATACAAAGTAATTATTTTTCATCTTAGGGACCATTTTGTAATTTAATTTGGAAGAAATTTTCAAAAAAAGACCTTTTTACAATTTCCGAAAAATGTGACAAGTATCACATTCTCATGGTGCCACTTGTTGACATTGGGGTGGGGAGACTTGGAGGCATAATCTCTTGACACATGGAGGGTGAAGATTCACTCATTTGTTGGCCTAGGATAGGAGCACTTGTTGGTATGGATGGTTGACAAGTGTAAGCTTGATTTTAAATCTTGAAAGTTTGCTTAGATTCATGACAAGTGTAGGACTCACCTTTAGTCTTGCAAGTGTGTGTATAAAAGGTAGTGCAAGAGCACCTAGTAAGTGGAGAATCTGTGACGTTTTCGATTTTCAGCATTATTCAATTTTCTGTAATTCATGTCACCGCAAGGGAATGTTCATCCTTTCACGTTTTGTGTACGGGATCTTAATAGTGTCTGATTTCATTTTTGTGCATTTTAATTTATGTAGATTAAGTGGTATTTGTAAATGGTGTATTTTTATCTATGTGGTGTAAAAGGAGGATTAAAGAAAAAAGAGAAAATAAAAAAAAGTGGCGGGACCCACCACTAGTGTAAATAATGGTTAGAGACCATTTTTGGTCTCCCAATTCTCTCTCGCCCCGCTACTAACTCTCTCACTCTCTCAAATTTCCAATTTCCATCTTCTTTTGCTTCAAATCTTTGAAGCTTGATAGTTCCTTCATTACTTGCCGGATTTAGGTGCCGTTTGAGGCAAAACGAAGAGCACGACGAGCTCTACGCATACGTGCAAGCAATTTCAGATTGGGTGCCCTCCTTGATTTTCGAATTCCTTGACCCATTTCAAGGGTTTTGCTCATTTTGAGGTAGAGGCTTCCTAATTCACATTATTCATGCACCTTTGTGAGTTATTCTACTTGAATTGTGTTATGACATGCTTATTGGTGTTAATTGTAGCCTAAAATGTCTTGATTGAATATATGTGAATATGTGAAGACTTGTCATGATTGTACTATATGAGAAGCATGCTTATGTAATGAGTTTTGTGCCTATTATATTGTTCACATGCTATGAATGGTGTATGAAAGCATGCCCTATTGTATTTTGTGATAATCCATTATTGTTTAAATATTAAAAGTATGAGAACATACTTACTTGTGTTGTGTCAACTTCCTCATTTTCATAGTATTGAGATCATGAGACATGCATGTACACCATTGGGTTGCATGAAGGGAAGAAATTGTTTTTGAAATGAAAATGGGGAAGTTTGGGAAAGAATATTGTGATGAAAGTGTTTTGGAAAACCTGGTCGCTGTGGAGTCACCAACAGGCCGGTAGGTTAATATAACCTAGAGTGAACTAGGGAGATTGCCCTAGCGTGGTTGAGCTATCCGGGCCCCATAATGACGCTGCGGAGTCACCAAAGGTCAGGGACAGTAGCCAATCCTTCTCTCGGTGCTGCGGAGTCACCAAAGGGGGTTACATTAACAGTTTGAAAGCGATGATTCTGATTATGAAATATAGGGAGCGACATCGGCATGCATTGCATCTCTATTGCATCTTATTGTTTGTGTTGAGAAGGATAACCATGTTGCACTCTCCCCTATGTTGTGTGATCCCAACTCCTATTGGCCTATTCTTTATTTTGGATTCACGGGGTCTCATGAGGTGCATCTTAGGCGTCACCTACTGAGCAAATTGCTCACCCCACTATATTATTATATTTTTCAGGTCATGGCAAGGAAATAGCGGATGAAAATCCTCCACAAGCTTAAAAGTTGTTAGAAGATGAATTTTTTTTTTGCTATTTTGTATTTGGCCATTACATGTACAATTATAGTTTTGAGAATGTAATTAAATTTGTATTCATGGCTATTGAGAAAATGTAATTAAGTTTTACTCACTCAAAATCAGTTTATATATTTTAAGTAACGTGTGATAATTTATGTTATTGATGGTGGTGGTATTTTTATTTGATGTTATAATGTGAATAAAATTTCACGTAAGTGTAGTGTCGTGGTGGTTGGATTACCAAAAGTTAGTGTATATGAGTTTCCACAGGTCAGTGGGAAGTGGAAGTGTGAATTACCCAGAACCGGTCGACGTATGACTTCCCAAACGTCGACCGGTATCTTCACAGTGGGGTCATTGAGACATACGTTCCAAACCAGTTGACGTATGGCTCCCTATACGTCGACCGGTATCATGTCCCAAACCAATCGATATATGGCTACCCATACATCGACCGGTATCTTGGCAGTGGGTTTTCCCACTGTTCATAACCTAAACCAGTCAACGTATGGTGTGGATACGTCGACCGGTTTCTGTCTCTTAAGTAATATGTGTTTAGTTTCCCAAATTGCACTTTGGCACCCAAGTGAGGTTACACGTAATTATTTTATGACCCACTAAAATGTCATAATTATATTTTAACCACCAAAAAGGATTATATTGCCCTGGACCTTATTTTGTTTACTACGTAATGCAAGTAAATGACTGTTTTACCCTTTGAGACTCAATTTATTTAATTATGGAAAATTACCATTTTGTCCTTTTGGACCTTACTATTTAAATTTAACGTGAAATGACCGTACTACCCTCGGATGTTTTTGGGTCGGGTAAGGACCCGTTTAATGATCCGGATCCATGAGGATTTGGGTCGTTACAAAATGGTATCAGAGCAATGGTTTGAAACCATAGGACGACGGGTAGAGGCCTATGTAGGATTGCATGGGAAATTGAATTGCGTGACTATGTAATACGTGTTTAACTGTTTAAGAAGCACGCTTATTTGCTTACTTGCTTACCTGCTTAATTGCCTACGTGTTAATTTGCTTATGTGATCACATACTTACACGTTATATGTGTGTAGCACTAATCTATGAAGTAGGTGTTATGTTTTCAGTATGTAATCGTTTGGCATGCGCGCTTCTATATTGTGTTAGTTCTGTAAGTTATCACCTGTGACTAGGGAAAGTGTCAGCATTGTGAGCAAGGGGTGATGTGAATGGTACGACCTATTAAGTTCAGGTTCGATTTGAGCACGTTGTTCCATTAGGAGTCTTTTCCTTAGGGACTAGTAACGGTAGAAGAGTTTGATCTTAGGTGTCTTCCAAAAACGGAAGTTCTCTTTTTCTTGCTGGGATAAGAGTTTGTGTTATGTTTCTTTAGCATAGTGAGTAGACTCTGGGAATGATGGATTCGTATGGTATGGTGTGTGAGTCAATGGATCCTTTCAGGTAAGTAAAGTTGATTGGATGTTATAAGACGTGAGGTGGTATGTAGAGTATGACTTGTGAGGTTCTAGTGTTGTACGGGTTGAGTGAGGTTGGTATTTGGATTTTATATAGAAGTTCACTGATGTTTAAGATTGCGAACTTGTCTCTTAGATTGCCATTTTGGGAATAAAAGTTAAGGTTGATCTTGTGATGGCGACGAGATGGGTAGGTTGCACTTTTTATTTTGATTTTCCGTGAGGAAGATAAAAGTTCGGTGTGATGTTGTTTGGTGACCATAGAGTGTTGGTCACATATTATGTTGAGCCAGGATGAGGAGTGACCTCTTGGGCTCGGTGGCCTGTTCTATCTGATTTCTTTGTTTTGTGGCCCTGTAGGCGGGTGTGCGTGAGCGTGTGCAGGTGGCACCAGAAGGCCACTACACTAAGCGAGCTGCGAGCACATAACTCAGATGAAATCAATGTGAACATTCCATTGTGTTGGATGGTAGCCTTAGCGATTGATTAGGAAATGATAGTGTTAGGGATATAGGAGTTGTGTACCCTGTTGTTTAGCCAGAAAGGTCAATTATAGGTATGACCTGAGTGTCTAGTTAGATACCAATGAGAGACTATTATTTTGTAGTTGTCTTAGAGTGTAGTTTGTGAGGTTGACCATTTGGCGTGGTGTTTGTTTTCCTTTTTGGGATTGTTTCTGTAGTGTGCCACGTATAATTCCTTTTTCTTGTGACGGTAATTGAGTCTCGGTGAGTTGATTGTACGGCTCGGTCGATGAGCGGAGTTTTTGGTTAGCACGACTGTCTAGAAGGTCTTAAGGTGAGGTATGGTGCATTTTGAGGTAGAGGCTTCCTAATTCACATTATTCATGCACCTTTGTGAGTTATTCTACTTGAATTGTGTTATGACATGCTTATTGGTGTTAATTGTAGCCTAAAATGTCTTGATTGAATATATGTGAATATGTGAAGACTTGTCATGATTGTACTATATGAGAAGCATGCTTATGTAATGAGTTTTGTGCCTATTATATTGTTCACATGCTATGAATGGTGTATGAAAGCATGCCCTATTGTATTTTGTGATAATCCATTATTGTTTAAATATTAAAAGTATGAGAACATACTTGCTTGTGTTGTGTCAACTTCCTCATTTTCATAGTATTGAGATCATGAGACATGCATATACACCATTGG